CCGGACGGACGCGCGTATTTGCCAATCTTTAAAAATTAATATCTCGTTAACTATTGCTGCAATCCCAAAATGGTACAGGACTTTTCGACTCAGTATAGTCTGTTCTACCCATCCATTAAATATTATGCGGTTATTCTCGCCCACCCTGTATAACTTTATTACTTGAAAAGATTTTACGGAAACCAATATTTTTACATATATCCATTCTTCTTATAACATAATAAACTATTGTTAACATCTTGTTTTGTATTAAATACAAAGTACCTCAAATTCTAGAAGACATCAACCAAGAACTATTGCAACCTCAAGAATCGTCTTCACAACCAGATCCAGGTCAACGATCGGAACCTGTGCAACAGGAACAACCAGTGCTTAGACGCTCTCAACGCAATAGCCGTCCACGTAAACTGGAGGATTACCAGTGCAGAGAGAAACCTGAGAGAGGACATGACGGCCTAAAACCTGTAACCGCAAAATGCTGCCGCGCACTATTGCCCTCTGAAGAAGTGGATGTAAACTACATGCAAGATCCACTATTCTGAGGATAACGCATCTACTTTTTAAGACTGATGGTAAGTAGATATTCGCGGTTCGTATAATCGTATTCGCGCTACATAAAATATGGATCAGAATAAATATTCTTCTCTGCAATTGAAGCGTTTGAAGGAATAAGGGCGTATCTCAAAAAACAACGAAATGAGATATTCGCGTTTAAAATTTTATTTTATCGAAATAACGACCAGAACAGTATAAACGGGTTTGAACCAAGATGTTTTGGATATTTTTAACATCATACAATAAAACTACACTAGTTAAACATGCCCGTTTCAACTCAATAAAAAATAGGACCCGAATAAAAAATCAATTTTATACGGCCTTTTTACTTAAAACTGGGATACTCGGCAGAAAATTCAGAAAATAACAAATATAGACATATGAAATTGTATTTCGAACTTTATTATAAATCTTTACAGAATATTTTATCAATCTATAAGGTTTTTAAATTACAAATAATTAACAAAAACTAGAAATGACATATTTTTTAGTTTCTTAACAATCGTCATATTTTCTTTGCATTAGCTGGATCCAAAAATGTCAAAAGACTCTCGACATCCTTAATTTTTGTTGTTTTCAGGTCAACTTTGGAAACAGGCTTAAACTCAAATTCTTGTGATACATCCGTTTTATTTCCGTAAGAAAACATATCATAAACTGTATCATAACTTTTTGCCGCAAATATTTTTTTATTCTCATATTTCAATACTTTATACGATTGAATTTTGAATTTCAAACTCTTTTTGTTTGATTTCGGAACGGAAAGTCCTAAATTTTTGAAAACTTGTTTCCAATCTTTTATTAATAAAGCGCCATTGACAACTTTAAACGGTTCAGGATGTTTGCGACAATTTCGTAAGACATGAAGGTATTCCTGCACACTTTCTACTGTGTAAAGTGTAAACTTTCTACTGTGGTCAAGAAGTTTATAAACAATTTTGGTTTTAAGGAAAAAGGGCGTTTCTCGAAATATGCCCTTTTTGATTAAATCAATCATTCTACAGCCAATTGCAGTGATATCGCCTTCAAACTTTCACGACATATATATTTTGATAAGAAGATTAACAATATATATTTTAAGGAAAAAGGGCATTTCTCGAGATACGCCCTCATTCCTTCAAACGCTTCAATTACATGTATGTTTACTTACATGCGCGTGATGTTTATTATTACGTTTAAAAGTATTAACGTTAATGTTGTATATTACACCCCCCAGTATCCGAGAATGGATTGGATTTTGTCTATTCGAATTTGTATTTTAAATAGCGAATACTTTTTTGTGGATTCAATTGAATTCAATTGGATTCAATTAGATTCAATTGGATACAACTGGATTGAAAAACTGCATTTCCTGTTCAAAACTATGAATTGAACAGTATTCACTATGGTCACAAACGCACTGAAAAAGCTAATATTATTTTATGATTGAAAAGTATACAGATATGCTCAATGCAATTCCTATAAATGAATAAAAACGTATTCGGATTGAAAAGTATACAGATATGCTCCATGCAATTCCTATAAATAAATAAAAAAGCATTCGGATTGAAAAAGATCCATTTTAACAATCATGAATCCGTAATTCTGAAAATTTGAATCCATTTCAATCCATTCTCGGATACTAGGCCATTTTTTTTAGAAATGTGTTAAAATATATCGCGCGTGTTTATATTTTAAATAAGTTATATATACATACAGGGTGTCATTAATCGAGCGGATCACTTCTCAGGAGCAGGTAGAGTAGACCGAACTGAGTCGAAAAGTCTTATACCATTTTTCAGTTGACGCAATATTTAACGAGATATTAATTTTTAAATATAACCGAATAAGCGCGTTCGTCCGGCCTACTACTGCCAAGCGTGTACGCCTGTCAATCGCTCTCTACGCGCGCGAATCGCGAGGAGTGGGGATAGGCTGGCAGACGCACCGCGGAGGCTCGCGGCGGTGTGCGCGGCGCGGGACGCTTCCCACTCCCAGCGCGCCAAGCTAACAAAATGGCGGATATTCGGCGCTTTATAAATAATATCTTGAAAATTGAGAAAATGTATACCGGCGTGGTTTCCCAGATAGTAAAATGCTAGCAGTATGTCAACAGTATACCAGTAAACTTGATCATGACGTTACAGCAGATATCAAGCTGCTGCTTCCTCATTAAGCTTAGTTTCTAACAGCTTAGTCTGCCAACATAATACAACGATAGAAATACAACAAAAATCAATCATTATTTGCTATCACATCGTGTCACGACAGCGAAAACGCGATAAAAACGTTTTTGCTGTTAGTACTTAATTATGTCAGGTCGTGCGGTATCTTTGCCACCTTTTTGCTGTCATGATATGACAACGAGTGTGCCAGATTTCTAACTATACATTTTGTTGATTTAACATGTCGTCATGTTTTATATCAAGTTTTGATATATTTTTTGTTAATTTATTTTGCCAGCATGTAATGTTCGAATTCTGCTTGTTTTATTCCGATAACGTTTGTTGAATTTTTACAGAATTTTTGCTAGTGTATTACAGGTCTGCTCTATGGTATTTTTGCTGTATTTCTGTTAGCGTTATACTGAAATGGTAAACCGTGTTCGACCGCTGCTCGATTTTTACCATTATAATACGTAGCATAAATTTGCAATGCGTGCTTTTGGCAGGTTCGGCTACCAGAAGAAACTTTATTGCTGCTTACAATTTTGCTTGGAAGCACGAGAAGAAAAATGCACTGCCGGTGAGAACAGAAAGATGTTTGACTCACGCATCGCCGCGCATGCGCGATCTAAGCAAGCTCGAGGCTGCAGAAAAGTTCAGGGGGAGACCGGCAGTAAGTGGTTGCGGGACGCGGTGAGGTAACGGAGTTATCGTGAGATGGCTGAAGTGTATTTTAAAATTGTTTTATCGAGAGAATATTCTTTGTGAAGAGAATCGGTACTGACTAAAATTTGCGTCCTCTCTTAGTACTGGAGAATGATATATTTTTTTGTATGACGCTACTCATGTTCATGAAAGTTCGGACACCCGCATAAATTTCATCGAATAATTATGTAAAAGATTAAGACACTATAAAAAAGCAATTGTATTGTTTTTAAAATATATTTTAAATCACTTTTACATACTAGTAATTGCAAAAGTTTTATAAATCTTTTTTAACTTTATATGCCAAAATGTTTTATCTTTATTTCATAAAACATCGATAGTATATTCGGTAAATTTCAAAAATTCGCGAGTCAAGAAATAATTTCTTTTGTGGCAAGGAACTGATAGAGCGCTATCATTTCCACACCACCTTGCGGTAGATAGCATGGCGCATTTTTTTTAAAGTGGTATCCCCAGTAGGTCTAATCCACTCTTGCATTTTAATGCAAGAATTGTTCGAAGTGCCTTCCTCGTTCTCGCAAACAGAGATCGGCTCTTCGAGTAATGTTGCGCGTAGAGCGGTGCGCCATTTCTGGCGTAATGGTATTGAAAGCTGCGACAATTGCTTGTCGCATCTCAGCTTCAGTACCATCACGATTATGCTCGACTAAATGTTTGATGTGACCCCAAACGAAATAGTCGAGCACGTTAAGATCCGGCGACCGCGCCGGCCAAGTGATTGGGCCACGTCGACCTATCCACCTGTCCGGATAGCGCGTATCTAAAAAATTGCGTACGTACCGTGCAAAATGCGCAGGAGCCCCGTCGTGTTGGAAAATGAGTTGCTCCCGATCCCGAAGAGGAACGTCTTCGAGAAGGGCTGGCAACTCGTTTTCCAAAAAATTGACGTAGATCTCTCCTGTTAAACGTGGCGGGAGAAAAAAGGGACCAATCTGAAAATTGTTACAAGTGTGACTAATAATGCGAGAGAGAGAGAGAGAGAGAGAGAGAGAGAGATAATTTTTTTAAATCATAAGCTTATTATTATTTACGACTTGGTTCGCTATTACTCCTGCCCACACGTTTATCGTCCAACGGTACTGAAACGCACCTTGCCGAACAACGTGCGGATTTTCATCTGCCCAGAATAAATGATTCCGGGAGTTGAACACGCCATTCGGTGTGAAGGATGCTTCGTCCGTCCACAGGATGCGGTCGGGAAAAAGGTCATTCCGCCGACACTGCGCGAGCAATCCTACATTACATTCCGCCGTTAATATTTCTTAAGAAAACAGCGAGAATATTATGATAAAAATAATGAAAATACCTTCACAAAAGCAGATGCGCGGCAATAAATCTCGCTCAAGAAGTTGCTGCACCCGCTGAAAGTGATACGGGTGCAGTTGGTTCTCGCGTAGAGTACGGTGCACCACAAATCGAGAAACCCCGAGCGCATGAGCCGCACGGCGTATACTATTCCTGGGGTTCTCCTCGAATGCTTCCAGGATTCTCTCCTCCACGTTTACGCGAACGCGCATTCTGCCACCATTGTGGTGTGGAATCCGCAACACGGATCCTGTCTCCCGTAAACGTCGGATACATCTTAAGATGACGTTATACGTAGGATGTGCGCGTCCAGGAAATTGTTCTGCGTAGAGACGGGCGGCAAACCGAGCATTTCTACCAGCTTCACCGTACACAATTACCATATCAGCGTACTCTTGAGCACTATAATTTTCCATCTTGCACGAAATGGGCGCAGTGTCGTGTTTGTTTATCAAGACACATTAAATTCGGAGTAGCGCTAGACGGAAACAAAAGAAATTGTTAACATATGAACATCGCCACTCGTGCCGGTCATTGGTCTGCGTAATCGCGATGTGTTTATTTAAACGACACTTCGTACGAGATGGAAAATTATAGTGCTCAAGAGTACGCTGATATGGTAATTGTGTACGGTGAAGCTGGTAGAAATGCTCGGTTTGCCGCCCGTCTCTACGCAGAACAATTTCCTGGACGCGCACATCCTACGTATAACGTCATCTTAAGATGTATCCGACGTTTACGGGAGACAGGATCCGTGTTGCGGATTCCACACCACAATGGTGGCAGAATGCGCGTTCGCGTAAACGTGGAGGAGAGAATCCTGGAAGCATTCGAGGAGAACCCCAGGAATAGTATACGCCGTGCGGCTCATGCGCTCGGGGTTTCTCGATTTGTGGTGCACCGTACTCTACGCGAGAACCAACTGCACCCGTATCACTTTCAGCGGGTGCAGCAACTTCTTGAGCGAGATTTATTGCCGCGCATCTGCTTTTGTGAAGGTATTTTCATTATTTTTATCATAATATTCTTGCTGTTTTCTTAAGAAATATTAACGGCGGAATGTAATGTAGGATTGCTCGCGCAGTGTCGGCGGAATGACCTTTTTCCCGACCGCATCCTGTGGACGGACGAAGCATCCTTCACACCGAATGGCGTGTTCAACTCCCGGAATCATTTATTCTGGGCAGATGAAAATCCGCACGTTGTTCGGCAAGGTGCGTTTCAGTACCGTTGGACGATAAACGTGTGGGCAGGAGTAATAGCGAACCAAGTCGTAAATAATAATAAGCTTATGATTTAAAAAAATTATCTCTCTCTCTCTCTCTCTCTCGCATTATTAGTCACACTTGTAACAATTTTCAGATTGGTCCCTTTTTTCTCCCGCCACGTTTAACAGGAGAGATCTACGTCAATTTTTTGGAAAACGAGTTGCCAGCCCTTCTCGAAGACGTTCCTCTTCGGGATCGGGAGCAACTCATTTTCCAACACGACGGGGCTCCTGCGCATTTTGCACGGTACGTACGCAATTTTTTAGATACGCGCTATCCGGACAGGTGGATAGGTCGACGTGGCCCAATCACTTGGCCGGCGCGGTCGCCGGATCTTAACGTGCTCGACTATTTCGTTTGGGGTCACATCAAACATTTAGTCGAGCATAATCGTGATGGTACTGAAGCTGAGATGCGACAAGCAATTGTCGCAGCTTTCAATACCATTACGCCAGAAATGGCGCACCGCTCTACGCGCAACATTACTCGAAGAGCCGATCTCTGTTTGCGAGAACGAGGAAGGCACTTCGAACAATTCTTGCATTAAAATGCAAGAGTGGATTAGACCTACTGGGGATACCACTTTAAAAAAAATGCGCCATGCTATCTACCGCAAGGTGGTGTGGAAATGATAGCGCTCTATCAGTTCCTTGCCACAAAAGAAATTATTTCTTGACTCGCGAATTTTTGAAATTTACCGAATATACTATCGATGTTTTATGAAATAAAGATAAAACATTTTGGCATATAAAGTTAAAAAAGATTTATAAAACTTTTGCAATTACTAGTATGTAAAAGTGATTTAAAATATATTTTAAAAACAATACAATTGCTTTTTTATAGTGTCTTAATCTTTTACATAATTATTCGATGAAATTTATGCGGGTGTCCGAACTTTCATGAACATGAGTAGCGTCATACAAAAAAATATATCATTCTCCAGTACTAAGAGAGGACGCAAATTTTAGTCAGTACCGATTCTCTTCACAAAGAATATTCTCTCGATAAAACAATTTTAAAATACACTTCAGCCATCTCACGATAACTCCGTTACCTCACCGCGTCCCGCAACCACTTACTGCCGGTCTCCCCCTGAACTTTTCTGCAGCCTCGAGCTTGCTTAGATCGCGCATGCGCGGCGATGCGTGAGTCAAACATCTTTCTGTTCTCACCGGCAGTGCATTTTTCTTCTCGTGCTTCCAAGCAAAATTGTAAGCAGCAATAAAGTTTCTTCTGGTAGCCGAACCTGCCAAAAGCACGCATTGCAAATTTATGCTACGTATTATAATGGTAAAAATCGAGCAGCGGTCGAACACGGTTTACCATTTCAGTATAACGCTAACAGAAATACAGCAAAAATACCATAGAGCAGACCTGTAATACACTAGCAAAAATTCTGTAAAAATTCAACAAACGTTATCGGAATAAAACAAGCAGAATTCGAACATTACATGCTGGCAAAATAAATTAACAAAAAATATATCAAAACTTGATATAAAACATGACGACATGTTAAATCAACAAAATGTATAGTTAGAAATCTGGCACACTCGTTGTCATATCATGACAGCAAAAAGGTGGCAAAGATACCGCACGACCTGACATAATTAAGTACTAACAGCAAAAACGTTTTTATCGCGTTTTCGCTGTCGTGACACGATGTGATAGCAAATAATGATTGATTTTTGTTGTATTTCTATCGTTGTATTATGTTGGCAGACTAAGCTGTTAGAAACTAAGCTTAATGAGGAAGCAGCAGCTTGATATCTGCTGTAACGTCATGATCAAGTTTACTGGTATACTGTTGACATACTGCTAGCATTTTACTATCTGGGAAACCACGCCGGTATACATTTTCTCAATTTTCAAGATATTATTTATAAAGCGCCGAATATCCGCCATTTTGTTAGCTTGGCGCGCTGGGAGTGGGAAGCGTCCCGCGCCGCGCACACCGCCGCGAGCCTCCGCGGTGCGCCTGCCAGCCTATCCCCACTCCTCGCGATTCGCGCGCGTAGAGAGCGATTGACAGGCGTACACGCTTGGCAGTAGTAGGCCGGACGAACGCGCTTATTCGGTTATATTTAAAAATTAATATCTCGTTAAATATTGCGTCAACTGAAAAATGGTATAAGACTTTTCGACTCAGTTCGGTCTACTCTACCTGCTCCTGAGAAGTGATCCGCTCGATTAATGACACCCTGTATACATATATGATCCCGGCAATTGATTTTGCTTTAATGTACTTTACTCTTGTACGCGAGTCAGCCACACTGTGGGTCGAATTTTTCGACATAAATGATGAGCAAAATATCGGATTCTGGATATTCTTAGAGCAAATAATTCTAGAAATATTTTGAGACCAAAATGATCCCGGCAATGAATTACTTTAATGTACTTTACTCTTGTACGCGAGTCAGCACAGCCACACTGTGGGTCGAATTTTTCGACGTAAACGATGAGCAAAAAAATCGGATTCTGCATATTCTTAGAGCAAATAATTATAGAAACATTTTGAGACCAAAATGATCCCGAGAATGAATTGCTTTAATATACTTTACTCTTGTACGCGACTCAGCACAGCCACACTGTGGATCGAATTTTTCGACGTAAACGATGAGCAAAAAAATCGGATTCTGGATATTCTTAAAGCAAATAATTCTAGAAACATTTTGAGACCTAAATGATCCTGGCAATTGATTGCTTTAATGTACTTTACTCTTGTACGCGAGTCAGCACAGCCACACTGTGGGTAGAATTTGTCGACGGAAAGGATGAGCAAAATATCGGATTCTGGATATTCTTAGAGCAAATAATTCTAGAAACATTTTGAGACCAAAATGATCCCGGCAATTGATTGCTTTAATGTACTTTACTCTTGTACGCGAGTCAGCACAGCTACACTGTGGGTCGAATTTTTTAACATAAACGGTGAACAAAAAAAGTCGAGAATAGAGCAAAAAGTTAGCAAAAATATTTTTTTATTACTATCTATCACAACTCAGATATGCAACATCATTAACATCGAAGCGTTGTAAATCCGAATTTTGAACAAAAAATGCTTCCGCGAGCGTTCGCACTCAAGAGTAAAGTACCCTTAATATCGTTATACCAGCGAATCTAACGGTTGTGCTGAGTTGTGCTAGGCTCGCACAATTCAGATATGCAATTTTGTGGTATTTGAATGACGGATACGAATGTTAGCGTTGTTTTTATTCCGTTTCGTGAAAAATTGTTTTTCTATCATATCTTTTGTTGTTGTCATTATTTTTGAATACCACTTTAGCACAATGTTAGCACAAATTAGCACAACCTTAAAAATTGAAAAAATCGCAAAGTGGAGGGCTGGCCTAAAATATGGTTTTTTTTAAATTTTTTAACGTATTTTTCGTATTTTGATAGTAATATTCGAGTACAATGTAGCACAAACCTAACACAATTCAGCACAATTCTCAAAATAAGTGAATTCAAATGTCGGGGGCTAACTTAGTATAGGCCCGTTTATGTCAAAAAATTCGACCCGCAGTGTGGCTGTGCCACAGCCACAAAGAAAAATAGCAGCAAATGAAAAATCAAGTACATATTCTTGAAGGGCTATTTTTTTGCTAATTTTTTGCTCTATTCTCGACTTTTTTTATTCACCATTTGTTAAAAAATTCGACCCACAGTGTGGCTGTGCCACAGCCACAAAGAAAAATAGTAGCAAATGAATAATCAAGTACATATTCTTGAAGAGCTACTTTCTTGCTAATTTTTTGCTCTATTCTCGATTTTTTTTATTCACTGTTTATGTTAAAAAATTCGACCCACAGTGTGGCTGTGCTGACTCGCGTACAAAAGTAAAGTACATTAAAGCAATCAATTGCCGGGATCATTTTGGTCTCAAAATGTTTCTAGAATTATTTGCTCTAAGAATATCCAGAATCCGATATTTTGCTCATCATTTATGTCGAAAAATTCGACCCACAGGGTGGCTGTGCTGACTCGCGTACAAGAGTAAAGTACATTAAAGCAATCAATTGCCGGGATCGTATAATATAACTTATTTAAAATATAAACACGCGCGATATATTTTAACACATTTGTAAAAGAAATGGATGTAATATACAACTTTAATGTTAATACTTTTAAGCGTAATAATAAACATCACGCGCATGTATGTAAGTAAACATACATATAATTGCAGAGAAGAATATTTATTCTGATCCACATTTTATGTAGCACGAATACGATATATTATACGAACCGCGAATATCTACTTATCATCAGTCTTGAAAAGTAGATGCGTTATCCTCAGAATAGTGGATTTTGCATGTAGTTTACATCCACTTCTTAAGAGGGCAGTAGTGCGCGGTAGCAATTTACGGTTACAGGTTTTAGGCCGTCATGTCCTCTCTCAGGTTTCTCTCTGACCAGTGTCACTCTTCCAGATAGGGGAGGTGTTACCTACGCCTATGCTAAACGTCACGACATCCGCGGCTAGGCAACGATCTGTATGTCGACAGTCAGAAGGTCGACAGCGGCAGTTGTGTTTAGACATTCAAAATAGAAACATTCTTTTGTATTATCACTCGGTTTTCCGCGTATTCTGATTAGCACATAATCCTCAATAAACTACGAATTAAAGATTAGTGACAAACACAACAATTTTATATATGGAGGGGGGTGGGAAGGGAATACATATACATATATCACTTTGAATAATATATTGCGAAGAATATTACTACGTCGAC